AATATCAATTTTCCTATAGGGTAGAGAATGCTGAATGATTTTTATAAATGAAGAGGACCCTGAAACAAAGAGATTTAAAAGAAGGATTGACCTGGATCAAAAATGAAAATGAAACCGTGGATGGAAAATCAGATTTTCAATAATAACGTTCTGACTTTAGGTATGCATGGTTATCTCTTTTAACCCTTTCACCATATGCTTCCATTTTTTTTTGAATGGGACTTCCTTTTGGTGAGGGGTGAGCAAATTTTAATTCTGAAAAGAAAAGAATTGACCTGCTAAAGAATATCAATTTTCCTATAGGGTAGAGAATGCTGAACGATTTCCTTATAAATGAAGAGGACCCTTGAAACAACAGAGATTTAATTCTACAGAAGGATACTGAGAATACCATGGATCAAAAATGAAAATGAATACTGTGGATGGAAAATTGGAGGAGAGAGTTATCAATAATAATGTTCTGACTTTGAATCCATGGTTATCTCTCTTTAACCCTATCTCTGTTTTTTTTTATTTTTAAATGTACATTTTATCACATATAATTTGGTGATATGTGAGCAAATTTTCATTTCAAAAATGCATCCCAGAGAAACAAAGTTTGCGAACCACTGATCTAGTAGAATGAAATTTGGCACCAACGTTGTCACTTTTTTTTTTTATTAACCATCAATGCCAACATTTTTGGTCAGCTTGCCAACTTGCTCTTATTGTCTTGAATTCAGTTGATTCCATCTTCGAACAATTGGTAAATACTCAGCTCTGAAGTCCGTCATTTTTTAATCAAAACATCAGGAGCTTTATCTCAGTTTCTGAGGCAGTCTTTTGTTACGATTGTATTACGTTTCTTTTAAGCCAGTTTCCTTGTCTTTGTTGTTTGTTGCAAATTCTTTATTCAATCCACTCTTCAGCATCTTTCAGGCATCTGTTTATGTAATTCCCTTCCATTAATAGTATGTCTAACACAAAATCATAATGTGTAGATGCTATTGGTGCCAGAAAATGAAACAGTCCCCCCAGCACTTATTGGAATATCCACTTTTAAAACTTAAAATGATGACCCCTTAAAAATAAACACTGGTTAACTTCTATTTCAGGGTCAAAAAGGTTAAGTTGTTGACCTTCCAGAAACTTCAAACAGAATCCAAAAATTATCAAAAGGACGTTTTTCCTTTGACACTGCTATTATTTTAAATACCTTCACTCCTCAACAATATTTATTGTCTTAAAAAGTGATGATTAAAATTGTAATAAAACCTAAATATATGATGAAAGTGAATTTATATTTTTTTTTTTTTGTTGTTCTTGAGAATTTACAACAAAAATATTAAACATTAATTTATCATTTATTTATTAGATTGTTTATTGGAGTGTTTGGCAAAACATCGGCTAATTGCCAGTTGATCAAATCTTTATAAAATAGTGAATAATAAACATTTCCTTCTAATCAGTTCACATATTTTAATACTTTGGTAAATGTTTACAAATTTATAAATAAAAAATTGTTTTCATATTTATTTCTTTATAAATCAGTAAATGATAAATATTGTATTTTTTAAATACAATTACATGAGTTTTTCATGATATTAATAATTATATCAATAACAATATAATTTATGATATAATTGTATATTGTACATATATATTATATATATTTATTAAATAATTGTATATTGTATAATAAATATATTCTATTAATTATATGAGTTTTTAGAATGTTGTAAATTCCCATTTTAGAATGTATAAATTAACTTTCACATGTTTAGGTTTTATTGCAATTTTTTTTAAAAATGAACATGGCTGAGGAGTAAAGGTAGTTAAAATAATAGTGGTGTTAAGGGAAAAACCATCCTTTTCACACACTGATTTTTTTTGTTTTTTTTGCAGGCATGAATGTCCAAGTTTGCCCAGAATTCATTATAAGTAATGATGTTTTAATTTCCTTTATGGAAATTTCAAGAATCATAATAATTTGCTGAATGTCTAAACAATTTTTTGAATATGTAAATAGAGTAAAATCAGTACAGAACAAGAAATCAGCAAGTTGAGTTCAAATTCCAGCTTAATCTATTGCATTCATTTTTGCACTATACCCTGGAGAAAACCTGAATCTATCTCTCCTATCATCACGCTCATCCATGTGTTAAATAGAAAAGTAGACTTGGTTCTCAAGCCTTGGGTGGCAACCAGTTTTGGAAAAGGACAACTCTGAATTCAATGATAGAGACTGCAACAGGAAACTATTCCACTATATTTCCTAAAAAGTCATGGAAGTTTCTAGATAATAAAGAAAAGGAATCTGTCGAGATTCATGATCACTTATTTCCTGAAAGAACATTGCATTTAAACAAAAATAGAAAATATCAACTATCGTTAAACTCAGATTTTTCATACCCCTACAAAATCTGTGATTTTTTTTAAAAGTATATTTATTAAAGGAGTAATTTCTTTTTCTGACCCAAGTTGAAATATAAAGAAGTGGATTTAATAAAAAATACGTTATGGGATTTAAAGGTTTGCTTGTTGGTGTCTCACAGGTGTGTCTACGTTCATATATAAACAATTAAGAAGAAGCATACAAAAAATTGGATTTCTACTACAGAGCTTTCATTTTCTTTTTTTATATAAGAACCATAGTGAAACCAGAAGTTAGGGTAATTAAGGATAAGCATTATTATAATAGTCTAGCCCAAGTCAGCCTTGCACTGAGTTGGAACAGCCAAAGAAAAGGTTGATTTATATCATAAAGTGAAGGTTTTGGAAGATATGCCTTGGAAAGTGGAAAAGAGTTCATTAGTCAGTGGACTGAGAAAATGAAGATGCACCAATGGGGGATGTAATTTCCATGTAGGGCTACATATTGGTGCAAAGGGAAGAAAGAGGAGGGAGGAAGGAAATGTTTGCCTTTTTATTGACTTAAGCAGCACCACCTAATGGGCGTTTGATAAAGCTAAGTGCTGTAATAAAATTTGCAGTTTCTTTATTACTAGCATTATGGAAAAATATATTTCTCTTTCTTTTTTTTATTATTCATTATTATTTATTTTATTTTATTTTCAAGTTTAGCAATACAGAGAAAAATTCATTAACATTTAATTTGATAATGAAAGTCATATATCAATCTGAGAAAAAAAATGTGTTCCTTTAATGAAAACATTACAAAAATCACAAATTTTGCTGAGATATGAATAATTTCATGCATCATTCTTGTATATCTTTTTTTAATCCATGACTAATGCTCTTTACTTCTATGTTTATACCTTTCTACATGTCAGCACAGTGAAGTAATGGATAGTGGCTTGGATTGAGGAATTGGAGAGCTGAGTTTGAATTCCAGTCGAATCCATTACATTCACATATGTGCTAATACCCTTGGGAAAGGTATGAATCCTCATCTTCTCCCCCCTGGCAACTGGTCTACCCCAGGAAGAAATTGCAACCTACTGCAGGGAAAAAATCTACCTTGTCAGTCATGTATCAAAAGATATATGATCGCCTGAGCATGTATCACACATGACACATAACTGATGCAACTATATAGCACATAATATTGGATTATAATGGTACCAGAAGCACTCATAGAGCAACTTGTTATGAAGCAGAGTGATATTTAAATTCAACTTATTCTAAATTTCTGCAGATTTCAATGCATCCTAGAGGAGGCACAGTGGAGTAATGGGTAGTGACTCAGATTGAGAAATCAGGAAGCCTGTTTGAATTCCAATCGGATCCATTACATTCACTTATGTGCTAATATCCTTGGGAAAGGTATGAATCCTCATCTTCTCCCTCCAGCTATGGATAAATAGCAGGACTGGGTTCTTTAGCCTTGAATGGCAACTGGTCTACCGCAGAAAGAAATGACAATGTACTGCAGGAAAAAAAATCTGCCTCATCAGTCATGTATCAATAGCTACATGATCGCCTAAGCGTTTGTCACACATGGCACATAACTGACTGACCTGTCATAATATTAACCAAGCAACCTATCATTTTAGTCTGTGCATATCTATCTTCAGTCTTGGGTGATGGTTAGCAAAGTTAGGTTGGCTATTACCACTAAGTATTGATTTTGATCCTTACTGGGTGCCCCATACAAAAAGAATTGGTTTCTCGTGCTTTCTAAACTCTACTTCAACTTTATACTTCCAACATCCCTGCCTGAACTCTGACATTTTATACTTATTTATTTTTCTTCTCTCACAATAGGAGTAGATAAGTTTGCCTATTGCCTGGTTCACACTCCTCCACAGCCTTTTGAACAGGATCAGAGGTGTATACCTTGTTTCCTGTTTAGAAATGGGTTTTCAGTTCCTTCTAAATTCTACTTCCACACTATACTTCTGATGTCTCTGCCTGAACTCTGAAATGTTATTCATTAATTAAAACTTGACCTCTTCAAGTTAGCTGTTATCTTTCCTGCTCAGTCCCAAGAACTTCATTTCTTACCCTTTCTTATGCTCATACATCACCACCTAGTTTGAGTGGCTCTTGGGTCTTGTATTGGGTGAACAATAGTAAAAACGAAAAGATCAACAAGCCTAATTCCTTCAACTCAGACATTTCATACATATTATTTTATTTTACTTTTCTCCCAATAGGAGTAGATAGGTTTGCCTATAGTCAGGTTCACACTCCTCCCCGGTATTTTGAATAAAAGTAGAGTTTAATACTCTGTTTCTGGTTCCTTCTAAAGTCTGTTCATTTGCTTATGTTTACCCAATCACAACAATCTTGACCTTTTCAAGTTTAGAGTTTCCTGCATAGCCTGAAGAAATTCACATCTTGCTTTTTCTTACACCACACACACTAACCCTCTACCTTGAGGGGCTTTTGGGCCTTGTATTGGGAGAATATTAGTAAAAAGATTTTTTAAAAAGTTCAACTAGACAAATTAAGATGAATGAGACAAGTTAAATTTGTGAAAATTGAAGACATTATTTAACTCTTTATTTTTTCTCAATTTTTGTGTTAAAATGTTGTTCTTTCTTTTTTTTTTATAGTTGTTTGCCTGAATCCTCTGGGGACGCAGTACAAGCCTCCGCCATCATACCACATTGCCTTAGTTTTTTAGATCAAAGTAAGTCTTTTTATTTTATGATCTTTATTCAAATTTTCCTCCGTCACCTCTTACCATTAATCTATCCTATGAGTACCAAATTTTCCAAACCCTCTTTCCTCATTATGCGGCCTAGAAATGTCAACAATCTCCTTCTGGTTTTAAAATTTAATTGGAAACTATAAAAACAGTACTGAACTCTTTTGCATTGTTTTCTTTCATTCTTGCAGTCAGTCTATCCTGTGAGTAGCAATTTTTTCAAGCCCTCTTTCCTCATTATATGCCCTAGAAATATTAACAATTTCTTTCTGACATTAAAATTTCATTAGAAACAAAAAAATTGTACTGAACTATTACATAATGTTAGTTATCCTATAAGGCAGTGAATACTGGATAATCTTCTCACAGATGAAGAAGAGACATGAAGCAACTCACAATTACTATTCACTATTACTCTTCTAGCCTAGTGGATTAAAGTCTTTGTGAATTTGGTGAAATAGTCATTGTGAGTTCAATCCCTAGGCTAGGCAATGCATACTTTGACTGAGTGAGCAATAACTGAGCAGTACTAAAAATAAGAACTCGACTATATTCCTAAACAGGAGCAATTGAATGAGAATAGTCTACCCCTGTAAATTAAATAAAGGGTTCAGTTCAGAATTCCATGTAGGTTACCCAGATTGATATACACCTGAAAAAGACTAAAGAAGACACAAGGGCTGAAATGTGTTAACAACAAAGATGACAATAGTCTGAATATAAATAGTGTAGATAATGATAATTCTTCATCTGAGAAATTCAGATAGCAGCAATATCTTTGCCCTTTCTAAACCTCTTAAAATTCCCTAATTCCCTCACATAATTTGTCTCTAGTATTATCAATATGAGTTGTTAAACTCTCATTTCCCATCCTGGGTAAGATGTTAAACTACATCCACATCCACATCCTGGGTAAGAACTTATACCACATCCGGGTCCTGGGTATGACGTTAAACTACATCCAGCAACAAGGCCTCTGATCAGGAGATTTTGAGGAGCATGGAGCCACCTCTTAATTGCTGGTGTTCCCAGATCCACCTTGATTCGGGGTGGTAGTACCTGTTTGGGTCCCAGCTATGGGCAAATAGTTAACCTCCAAACTGAGGCCAAAACATTATGAAAGTGTAAAAATAGGTTTTACATAATGTTTATTTTATTTTTTTTTAGAGATAATAATGGTTTAGTGATACAAGTCTTACTAATTAACCCATAGCTGGGGCGGAGAAGAGGTGGATTCATACCTTTCCCAAGGGTATTTGAATGGAAGTGAATATGACAAACCCAACAGAAATTGGAACTAAGCTCTCTGATTAACAATTCCGAGCCATTATCCATTATAGCAACCACATATCCAAGCTTACACCACTTGGTATTCCCAAGCGGTACTGGCTAGGCTCAACATTGCTTAACTTTGGTGATTGTACAGGAACCAGTGTTTCAACATGATGTCACTGTAAGATAGTACAGTTTCTGGGACATCTAGACAAGAATATTGGTTCCACGTCTGGAGAATGCATCTAAAGCCACACACACACACACACACACACACACAGACACTGTCCCTCAGTCGTGCTGGGTAAGACGTTAAACTACATCCGTGTCCTGGGTAATGAATGCACAGGTATTGCTCTCCTGAAGTCTAGCATCAGCCATGCTGATGACAGGCAGAAAAGGTTCTCTTTGTTAGTTAAAGTAACTGGGGTCATTCAAATTTACAAGCCATTTCCTGCCCCAGTTAACCACTGATTGGAGGTCTTTATCAAGAGCAATTGCCAGGCTTACTTTGTCAACTCTGATGGATTTGCTATTGAGACAGGAGTAAATGGTAGTGTCACCTACATAAATGCCTAATTGGGAAATGATGACATCAGGAGATCATTGATGAAGACCAGAAGCAGTGTAGGATAATAATTGATATGGGCAGTTTCTACACACAGGTAGTCCTCATGAAAAATTGTAACGATACTAAAAAATACAAATAAAAAGCTTTTTTTAAGCATGTCACCCCAAACAAGACAGGAGTGCCACTAGCATGCAAGTGGCAACAGAGAGTTGAGAGCAAGAGTAAAGAGGGGTATTTAAGGAAAGGATATAGAGAAGGATGGGGATCAGTATCAAGGCACCTTGTCAATTGACATTACATTTGAATATTTGAAGATTATAGCTATCAGGGAAGCAACTAAGAGGAAGAGAGTTCCACTGTCGGGAAGTGCAAGAGAAGAAGATGTTGGAGTAGAAGAAGTGGTTACATTTAACTGTTTTGACAGTAAAAAGGTGAGACTGAGATGCCAACCTAGTAGCATACTTAAATTCATGCAGATGGGATACCAGTGAAAGTAACTTATCAGAGCAATTGCCATGAAAATATTTGTAGAAAAGACAGAGGGAAGCCACATTTCTACTTCTGGTCTTTTCTTTCTACATCCTGTCATATTTCCATCATTTTTTTTAAACCTTTCATCTCAAGCAAGACGGGAGTACCGCTGATACGCAAGGAGTTAGAGAGTTGGGAGCAAGAGTAAAGAGGAGTATTTGAGGAAAGGATATAGAGAAGGATGGGGATCAGGATCACGGCACCAGAAGATATCGATTGACATTACATTTGGATACTTGAAGGTTATAGCTATCAGGGAACCAAGTAGGAGGAAGGGGTTTTATTTTGGTTTTTTTTAAGCATTTCTTCCCAAGCAAGATGGGAGTGTCACTAGCACACAAGGGGTTACAGAGAGTTGAGAGCAAAAGTAAAGGTGGGGTGTTTGGGGAAAGGATAAAGAGAAGGACAAGAATCAAGATCAAGGCATCAGAGATGTGAGATAAGAAGCTGTTTGAGTAGAAGAGGTGGTTACATTTAACTGTTTCAACAGTGAAAGGGAGGGACCAAAATGCCAACCTAGTAGCACACTTAAATTAAAGTATCTCATCAGATCAGTTGTCATGAAAATACTTGTAGAAAAGACAGAGGGAAACCACAGTATTTCTGTGAGAAAATGACTGTAGATGAGATGCCAGATCAGGATCTATCATATTGCATATCCGTCTCTGGATTTTGTTGATAACCTAAAATGAAATATTCCTTGTTCATCACATTCAGTTTAATGTATAACTATAATAATTTATCATTACTTGCATGCTCAGCATGCCTGATACATGCTTGGGCAATCATATCTTTCCATGTTGGTTGGTTGTAAGTGCAACAGAAGATGGCCATGGTAGACTCAATCCTTGTCGCTTCCATAATTTTATCCAGATATGACGCACATTGTCATTCTCTTGCTCATTTTCATTTGAGCTGACCTTGTAATGCCATGCCTTCTAATCTTTTCTGATAATATGACTGAAAAAATCAAAATGGTCTTTTCATGATGACCAACATTAAACCCCTTTTTCACCTGAACTCTTCTCAAATATTTCTTGTTGGTCACCATATCCACATTAGGGCAGGTTGATTTTCCACTTTTTAAAAAAAAATCAATATTGTGCTCAGTATGAAAGCTGATGTTTGATGTGATAAGTACTAGCATGAAATATTAGATTCATATCTTTTATCAATTTTTGAACATTTAGTTATAAAGACCATCTCAAAAAACGTACCAAAATACCAAATTTTCACAGTTTTTTGCTTACAAACTGACTTCAGAATTTTACTATTTCAAAAATTGTTGTAGCATACCTATGGACGATAATAGTTATGTCCTCATTCGCATAAATACAGTAGTAAATGCAGTTGGAGATTCATTGTGGAATTCACTTGACACACTTCTAGCAGTTGGCTGCTACTTCTATGCACCACTGGCAAATCTTATATGTGTTGTTCTTGTCCTAAGTATTATCGTTCATTACCAACCTTTGTGTGATTATTCTATTCAGTAACCTTCCCAAGGTTACAACAAAAATAAATCCAAATAAAGTTGATATTTTTTGTATTACATACATTGAATAGAAAATATATCCAAACCAGAATTCTAATCTGTAATTTCTTTACTGTTTGAGTAAGTAAAAATATTGTAAAAGATTACAAAAAAAGCTACTTAATAAATACAATTTATTAGATCATAATTGATAAAAGCAAATGATAAAAGTATATATAACACCATAGTACTACTGGGCACACGTTAGAAGACAAAATATTTTAAATTTGCATCCTTTATTGAAAATTGCACTAAAACTACTGCATTGTATAAACTATTACATTATAATATAGCTAAATTATTCAGTATAATTTTTCTTTGAGGTAAATGGTTTTATTTGATGACACATTGATTTAGTAATAATGTATTTGTGCCATGCATCTTGTCCATATAAAATTGGTATAGATTATAAATTTTATAAGGCTTTCATTGATCATCGGAATGAAATTTCAACAATCCAATTTTTAACCTAAACTTAATCTTTAAACTAGTTTCTTCAAAAAAAGCAAAGATTTGGGAAAAATATTTTCTGCTATTATTTATCATGTCAAACACCAACTTTTTGCAATATCACGTTTCTAAAATTGACCTGCCTTAATCTACATCTGATATTCATGAAATTCTTCTTCAAAACTGAATTTCTGCTGTTTCAATATTCCTCTGATGTTCAAGAGTTAAAGTCCAGTCTTTGCATCCAAAGGTCAAGATTAATCATATGTATCTCAATCAGATGAATGTTTGGCTTCTTAGATAGGTTAGTTTTAACAAAAATAGCATGTCCTAAAATTTTATTTTTTACAATGTCAATTTATTTTCTAATCTTCATCTTTGATCTCCCATCAATTGTAATCACACTTTTGAGATAATTTCTGACCTTACAGTAGATTAAAGCAGTCAGAATAATTACTAAAATTAGCATAAAAGTTGATTAGCTTGTTCAATTATCAAAGGAAAACACTTCTTTGAAATTATTAAGATGCATCTGATCAAAACGTCTACTTTTAGTCTCATTTTCATAATTGATAAATGCAAATTACATTTCATAAATAGCAAACAACTATGCAATATTATAAATTAACTTTCTAAGATGTTTACAATGCACAATTAAAATTATCATTATAAAAAACTGATGTTTTTTAGGTAAAGAAAAAAATACATTTTAAATCTAAACATATTTGTTACATCCTAGGTTGTTGAATGAAAAGACAAGTGTATTTTATCACAAAATAAAATAAAATAATATATTATGTATAAGTGTATTTTATCACGAATAAAAAAACAAGTGTATTTTATCACAAAATAAAATAACTTTCATTCTTTTACTACCTGAGAACAGCAAGGATTTGTTTGTATTTAAACTATGAGTTCCCCATGCATGTCAGCTTGTCACTATGTTGAATTCAGAAGTGCTGCAGTCCAACTAGTGAACAAGGGCCATAACTCCATTGTATTTCAAGTTATCGTTCTTTATAGGGTTAAGTCAGTAAGTACTCACTAACAATATTGCGTGATCAAATTTATATGATGACAAATTATTTTGACTCCTTTGATCCATTGTATGGTAAGAAATTGTAAAGAATGGAGTCTAGTCCAGCAAACAGTAGGTTTTGGGCTCCTAAATACACTATTGTTTTATTCATTGGCCTGAAGAATAAAACCATTTTGAAACACACAATATCCAAGCACTTTCACTGCTGATATTGTCTTTCTAAAACTTACATTTCTGGCTGTTGACACACAGACACAAACATTATATATATATATATATATATATATATATATATATATGACATCACACATTATGAAATGGACAAAGTCCGACAATTATTTTAAGACATTTTTTATATTTATATGTTCTTTTTATAGATACAAATATTTAAGTAAATGCTCTGTTTATAATAAACAGTATTAATGACATTTACTGGCCTGAATGTCTGAGAAATTTTCATATACCGATTTAGCCACAGAGGAGCATTTCAGTTAGCAAGGTCAGTTTTACTGTTTTTAATGTTGGAGGACACATATTTTATATGAAAATTTCTGTCATGCATTTATGTCAAAATATCTGCTTTATCAAGACAGAGGGTTAAAAATATCTGCCCCCTTCCCCAAAGTTGAGTGTCAAAATATTACCTCACCAACATTGAGTGTGAATATCTGACCCTCCCCAATGTTGACTGTCAAAATATCTACCCAGCTAAGACTGAGTGTCAAAATATCTACCCAGCCAAGATTGAGTGTCAAAATATCAACCCAACTAAGATTGCTTGAAAATATTCCTCTAATTCAAGTTTGAAAATGTCTTTGGAAATAACTTTATATTCTTATATACATCAGAGTTTAATATTTAAAATCAGGATTATGAATGCTATCTTTCTAGACAGCCAAGTAGACAGACTCATTCCAATTTAAAATCATGGCCTAACACCTTGTTTCTACCAACATCTTTCTTTTTAACTGATATTATTTGATATGAAATGATGTTTTATTTCAGATATTATTTATTATTAAACAAAATATGTCATTTTCTTTTACTACAAATTTATTATGCCTTTACCTTGTTGTTTTTTCTTCTTTTTTTAGTGGTCATTGATGCATCTAAGCGAGGAGATTTACAAAAGGTAACTGCATTTTATTTTATGTCATAATAAACTCTTGAATAAATTTTATTCGGAAAAAACTTAATTTGCTGTTAAAATATCATTGTCAACACAGAGAATGAATTTCTAATGATGTTGTTCTTTTCCCAATTTCTCCTTATCAATGATGTCAATTTTGTAAATAAAAACAAAGTATCGATAACTCTGTAAGAAGTCAGGCACCAGGGTGATACTTTATTTATATTTTGAACAGAACTTTCTTTCTGAAACGTTAAAAAAAATTAATATTTTAATAAATGTCATGGTTAGAGAAAAGTCCAATGAATTCTAATCTACAAAAATTTTGCCAAAAATAAATTTCCTTGTTTTTTTAACTGGGGACCAGTTAATTTAAGTAGTGTCAATTTTAATTATTTTTCTTATTTTTCTGTGATTTTTTTCTTTTTTTTTTTTCCAGTTGCATGACCTGCATCAAAGTAATGCCAATCTTTTAACTCAGGATGAGCATGGAATGACTGCACTACACCATGCTGCCAGTATTGGCCACAAAGAAATTGTCAAGTACCTCATAGAAAATGGTAAATAACATCCACAGTTTTTCAATTCACAAATTTAAATACTGATGAGCCAAAAAATTGGTTCATTTTATCCAATTGGAGCAAGTAAAGCTTACTACACTTGATTTTGTGTTATACTTTCATAGATAGTTTTGAAAGCTGTTAAAATGTTATGCATGCTTACTAAACAAAACTGAATTAGATGAAACTTTACAGATACATATATATATCACATATTTACAAAAAAAAAATTTTCCACCATTTTGTAAATCTTTGAGAAGGGTCTCTTTTTGCATTATACAATATTGATCATATGTCCATTTTAGGGTCAAATCATGCATTTCCAGTTTAAAATGTTTCTTTTTATCTTCCTTGTAAAAAATGAAAAAAATTCCAGAAACAAAGGTCAGAGGTCAAGCATTACAGAACAAACAATTGAGTAAAAATAAATTTTCCTAAAATATACTCTTGCTTCAGTTTTGTACAATCTTTGTGACATCATCTTCACATTATACAGGGTATCTAAAAAAAAAATGACATTATTTAAAATGTGCCTATCTGAGTAACTACATGTCCCAGGCAAACAAAATTAAATATTCATGTTGAACAATAAAATATTTATTTATCAAAATTTGAACAATATATTTAAAGGGATGTAGATTTTATAACCAATTTCACAAAATTTCAATACTAATACTACACACGTCGAGTCAGTAGTCCAGTTGCTGCCAAACATGCTGTAGCATGTCTTGTGTAACATACTCCAACACTTCAGTGATTCTCTGCTTAGGTTCCTCTAGGCTTGTTAAAAGACTATATTTCTGAGACGAGGTATTATGTACACTATTTACATTGTTTGGACTATCATCCTCATCTTTGTCACAGTATTTATCACAACATTTTGGCCATTGTATGCTCCAGCCTTATTCAGGTGGTCAGAATGTCAAACTAAATACTTTATTTTGCTCACTGGGGTAGACTGTTCTAGTTCCACGTGCCATGTCTAATAGACATCAGTTATCAGTTATCTCCTGTTAATTCCCCTCTCCAAGTTCTCCACCACCTTAACCAGATATTGATCTCACACTCTTTGGGTCCTGTCACTGGATCTAACACCTTTATCCACTGTGCCATGTGTCCTTGACATCCATTAGACATGGCGCATGGAACTAGAACAGCCTACCCCAGTGAGTGAAATAAAGGGTTCAGTTCGACATTCCATCCACCTGAAGAGGGCTGGAGCATACAACAGCTGAAACCTTGTGATAAATATGGCAACAAATATGAGAATGATAGTTCAAACAATGTAAATAGTGTTGTAAAAAGTTATAGGATATAAACCTGTCCTTTCACATAGTGCCATAGAAAAAAATCACAAGGTGTCAAGTCAGGTGAACATGATGACTATTTCAGCAGCACATTGTCATTGGTGCAGCCGATCCATCTTCCTGGTAGATTCTCATTGACATAAGTCTGCACTGGAGAATGTTATTCAAGACATGCTACAGCATGTTTGGCAGGAGCTGGACTGCTGACTTGACATGTGTTATGTCACAGGTGGTGCACATATTGAACATTAGTGAAGCTTTGTAAAATCAGTTATAAGATCTTCATCCCTTTCAATATCTTATTCAAATTTTGATAAATAAATATTTTATTTTTTAACATGTAGCTTATTTAATTTTGTTTGCCTGGAATATATAATTACTCAAATATTTGTCTATATTTCTGAGATGAGGTATTATGTACATTATTTACATTATTTGGACAACTGTCCTCATCTTTGTTGCCATATTTATTTCAAGATTTCAGCTATGGTACACTCCAGCCTTCTTCAGGTGGTTGGAATGTCGAACTGAACCTTTTATTTCACTCACTGGGGTAGACTGTTCTAATTCCACATGCTATTTTTAATGGATGTCCTCAAGAACACATGGCACAGTGGATAAAGGCATAAGTTAGATCCAATGACAGGACCCAAAGAGTGTGAGTTCAATACCTGGTTAAGGCAGTGGAGAACTTTCAGATGGAAATTAACAGGAGATAACTGATAACTGACATCTATTAAACATGGTACATTGAATTAGAACAGTCTACCCCAGTGTGCGAAATAAAGTGTTCAGTTCAACATTCCAACCACCTGAAGAAGGCCAGAGCATACAACGGCCAAAACATAATAAATATGGCGACAAAGATGAGGACATAGTCTGAATAATGTAATTAATGTACTCAGATATTCATATTTTAAATGATATCAATTTTTTGCGGACATACTACATGATAACAAAATAATTCCTTCCATTGATTTTTACTGTCATTGAATTAAAGTTAAAATTTAATTATTGTAATAGAAAAAGTGAAGTAAAGACAGCTTGGGTTTTTGAGCTTGTGTTATACTTTAAGTCTGGAGCATACAACGGCCAAAACGTTGTGGATATGACAACAAATATGAGAACAACAGTCTGAACAATGAAGTAGTGTGGAATGTCAAGGTCTTGATTATGTTTTTATTTTCTCTATAAGTTCCATGTGCTATCCATTTTAGTTGTTGCTGCTGTTGGTAGTCCTTAAGTGATGTGGTTTCTGTTATTTGGTACAGTTTTTGGTTTGCTGTTCTGTAGTACCAATCCATGAGGTTTGAAAAAGAATGATCCTCACTAAGACTCCCAGAGTTTATTCCCTGGAAGCTATTTTTAATCGTTGATCTAAGAAAGTATTTGTATCCAGTTGATAGTTTAGACATTTCTGAATGAATATTGCACCATGTATGGCAATCATTTGACAAGGTTATCGAAGAACATGACTTATTCTTAAGTTACTGTTTTGATTTTATAGCATCTTGCTGTGTTGGCTGAAACTAGCATTAGTGCAACCTATTCTATATACAGTTTCCTTATTTCCTACACTAAATCTGTTATAATTGATCCATACACTTATGTATTTGACTTGTTTAGTATTTAATATAAATAATATTTAATATTCTGTTTAATTGTTCAGTTTAATTAACTTTTTGAATTTTTATGATGGATCCAGGGTGTCATCCATGTTTTCATTCCTGTTCAAGAGACTTTTGATGTTAGCCAAAATCAATGTTCATGACAAATTCTTGAGCCTGGTCAAAAGGATAGAAACCCAACACATCTGGGCTAGTTGAAGAAAAGATGAGGAGAGGACGGAACAAAAGAATGCTACTACATAGAAACCAGCCAAGTATGATATATGAAGAAGCATCTGCTACTGACATTTCTACCCTTTTCAGGGCCAAGAAAAATACAGTAGATTGACACAGACCTGATCATAGTCCGACTTAAAAATTACCACTAACAGACATTTCTCCATACTGCTACCAATATCCACTTTAGTAACAATATTTTGCTACACCGAAACAGTATAATGTTACCAGTTGTTTATAGGAATCATCATTTGGTAATGTATTGACTTATTTGTTGAAAAAGGTTATTTCTTTGTCTTGTTTGGTTTATTTTGTTTTATGGCATATCAACCATAAAAGGTTATTTAATGCTAACAAGAGTTTTAGGATCAGTTTGTATGAATAAAATACATATTTGTAAGAAATCAGTTTGTTGATCAGGTTTCAGTGATGTGGTTTTGTAAAGAGGCTTTTTGTCATGAGTCAAATGTATTTTAAAAATGTCTTGCTGGTATTTTTACTATAAAAATCTATTTTTAATCCTTTCGTAGTATTTTGACCCCAGTTTGAGGGTTAACTGTTTGTTCATAGCTGTGACGCAACAGATGCTACCACTCCAGATCAGAGTAGACCTGGAAACAACAGCAATTAACAAGCATGCTCCTCAAAACCTCCTGATCAGAAGTCTTGCTGCCAGATGTAGTTTATCATCATACCCAGAACACTCCTTGTCTTGGAAGGAGATATATATTTGCATGATGGGATGTAATGAAGATATTCTTGTGATTGCATGAGGGTATTTTTTAAACAGGAAACAGTGTTATGATAGTACGCAACATGGTTCACCTGATATTAAGAAGTCTCATCGAGGGGAAAAGAGATATGTCTTGTACCTAGAGCATGCTACAGTTAAAGAACAGAGAGAGATAGATATAGTTTGTTACCTTTCCAATTAAGCTACTTTTGGCTGCTTGTATCCATGTCTGTCTGCTAGGGTGGATAGCCAATCCCCATTGCAGACGCCTGCTCAGGCACATTTGTGTTTGTTCAACACTCATAGAGCCCATCTGTGGTTTATACTGCAACTATGCTGAGCAGACCTTAGTTACAGTTTCTGGGAGAGAGCACAATATCTGGTGTAAAAAACACTCTGAACAAGGACAGTACACTCAAATCCTCAGTCAAGATGACTTGCAACTTTGTGCTAGCACAACCATTAACAGCTCACAAAAAGTTCCATCTCCCAAATTTCACTGACAAGGCTAGGTCAAACTGTGGTATGGTTTTCACGCTATTTCCAAATGTGCCTCATGCTGGGATTGCTCCCTCTAGGTCAATAATCACCTTCCTGGCAAACCGAACAGAGTACAATTCAAAGTAAGGTTAGAAAGCAAACATTCTAACCACTTGACCATACACTATATTAAATTCAGTATCTTCCTAAAAGGATTTACCTGAACCCCATAAAATTCAGTATCTTCCTAAAAGGATTTATCAAAACCCCTTAAAATTCAGTATCTTCCTAAAAGGATTTACTTGAACCCCATAAAATTCTGTATCTTCCTAAAAGGATTTACCTGAACCCCTTAAAATTCTGTATCTTCTTAAAAGGATTTACCTGAACCCCTTAAAATTCTGTATCTTCCTAAAATGATTTACCTGAACCCCTTAAAATTCTGTATCTTCCTAAAAGGATTTACCTGAACCCCTTAAAATTCTGTATCTTCCTAAAAGGATTTACCTGAACCCCTTAAAATTCTGTATCTTCCTAAAAATGAACCCTTAAAATTTTATCTTCTTAAAAGGATTTACCCCCTTAAAATTCTGTATCTTCCTAAAATGATTTACCTGAACCCCTTAAAATTCTGTA